AGAAGAAAAACACTTTTTCCTATCTCGACAAAATTTTGGGCGACAATATAAATTATCCCAAACGAAAATTGGGCGGAAATATATATCAATCTAAACAAAAATTGGGTGCTCTTTTGGAATGGGAACAGAGAAGTTGGGCGGCATTTCAAGCAAAAAGAAAATTGGGCGACATTTCACAACTGAAAGGGAAATTGATAAAAAAAAGACATGAATTATATATATATATAAAAATTGCTGGCTTAATTCTCTGATTTGTGAAATATAACATTTTTTTAACAAAAAGATATATGAATTAGGGTTCATGGCAAAATTTTGCAAGTGTTGTCAATCAATAATCCTATTTTATTTCCATATGCGAAATCTGGACAAGACATTAATGTTATAGACAATAGCTCGTGGGAGATGGGAACTGAGCTTAATAATAAGGGAAATGAAATGTTGTGTGTTGAATTTGAAGAAATTTTCCCTATTTAGATTTTCATTTTGGTAGAACAAATTGTACGGGGAAACCAAAATGAGAAGAACAAAAGGTGGGAGGGAAACATTGGGGAAGTAAAAATTTGGGATAAAATTACAAAATGAGGGGGAAAAGTTTCTCACCTAAGTTAAAATATGTTTGGAGAATTTAACAACTGAGATTAAATTTTCCTACAAGATACTTGGGAATATTTTAGTAGAAGTGACAGTTATTTTTAATAAGAGGTTAAGAAATTTTATTTTAGATAAGGAAGGCAATAGTATATTATTCACGAGAATTTACCGTAATAACCTATTAATCTTGTAGTGATACCTAATTATTCTTGTATTAACCTATACCCTAAACCATAAACTATGAACCCTAACCATATATCATACACCATGAATGTTGAATCCTAAACCAATAATTAAGTTCGTATATGATGTTTGTGTTTTTAATAGTAACATTGATCATTACCAAAATACTATACCCTAAATCATAAACCCAGACTCTATACCCTAAACAATAAACCCTAACCTTATGCCTTAAATCCTTGATATTGAACCCTCAAGCCATAACAAAAGCGATTAGTTTATTATAATAAGATGACTCGTGAGAGGTTCTCAAATATATTATTGTCAATTAGTTAAGGGTTAATACCTTATTTTGGCCTGAACTATGACCATATAATCAACTTTGGCCCGTGGTTTTAGAAATTAGCATCATGGCTTCAACTATGTAACATATAGACTCAATTGGCCTGATACCTAGTTTGACCGTCAATTTGGATGGTCAACACCATTGACCGTTAGTCAACACATCATGTCATTGTCTCGTCAGCCTAAAAATCATTAAAAATTCAAATTCAAACTATTTTTTCATTTTTATTATTTATAATCAAATTAACAAAAAACAATTTATAAAAAAACAAATTTATTTTTTTATTTTTTGTGTAATTTGAAAATGATAAATTTTTATAAATTAACCAAAAATTATAAATTAAGTTATATATTTAACATTACACAAAAATAAAATTATCGTATATTTTAAATTTATAAAATTTAATTTGATAATTTTTGGTTACTTTATAAAATTTATCATTTTCAAATATCCCAAAAAATAAAATATAAATTTAATTTTATATTTTTTATATTTTATTTTTTGGTTAATTTAAAAATTATAAATAATGGAAATTAGGAAAATAATTTGAATTTGATTTTTGTAATAATTTTTAGGCTAACGAGGCAATGACATGGCGTGTTGACCATCCAAATTGACGGTCAAACCATGTGTGGGGCCAATTGAGTATATATGCTGCATAGTTGAGGCCAGGATGTTAATTTCTGAAACCACGGGCCAAAGTTGATTATATGGTCATAGTTCGGACCAAAATAAGGTATTAACCCATTAGTTAATGCACTATAAGAGTAAGACTATTACAAGGTTTACTATAGACAATTTTGTAGTTACTAAATGTTGAACTCTTAATTCATACTCGATAAAGATTGTGATAATCGAATTAGTAAATAAGTATATGATGTATAATATAAAATAGCTTGCATTTGAGATAATTGAGTGATGTTATTGACATAAGATAACTCATAATAAGGATTCACATCGAAAATTAATTTTCTGGCAGTTAGTGTCAGTTACTTTTTGTGTCGGTTTTAATCAACACAATATATGGAATAGCGTTGGTGACAACAGACAAAAAAATAAAAATTTAGTTTTTGGACAATTAATTTTCACTTATCTTTGTAGTTTATAATTGACAAAATATTAAAATTAAATTCCATTTTTTGGTAATTGAAACCCCAAAATTTCACAAGTCCCGTAGAAAATATGTAGGAAATGGCTTTTGAAGTCTCATAAAATCTCGATTAAAATCTTTAAAATCTATGATTTATATGATTCTGTACAATTTCAAGATTTAATGCAACTGAAACAAAATTAGGTGGATATGATGAGATTTTGCCCAGAACTGGGTCTCAAACTTTCTCCTTTTTTGGCGGAAAAGAATTCTAATTTTCAGATTTGGTTTGGCTCTCAAAATTTCAGTTTTGGTTTGGCGGGAAGAAATTTCATTTCTCTCGTTTCCCTCCTCCCTCTAGCAAACTTAGCCGCTTGATCTCTTTGAGAAGATAAAAGGCTCCCGATTTCTCATCCTCAATCTCCACCATCAGCGATTTCGATCGCTGCGTTGCTCTGCCCCTAACCGGCTAACCCTCTGGCTCCCCAAGAGACTCCTCATCATCGGAGAAGACGGATAAAATCGCAGTGTGATGGCTTCCTCTGCGCCATCCATGGTGTCGGCTAAGTCCAACACCTCCTCCTCTTCCACCATGGCCAAGCCACCCCTCCGTCTCCCGACCTAGATCTCTAACAAATCCCTCTCAGCGTACCCAACAAAATTGCTCCAAGCGAACCCAGCGAAATCACTCCTATATTTCCAAGCACTGCATAAATCATCTACATCAAGGCCACCTCAACTCCTCTTCACTCTCCCTGCTCGATATGACGACTGTGCTACTCCTGCGTCTATCAATTCTCCTTTGAGCACCGTGAGAGAAGCGGATCTCGGTCGGTGATACTTTTTCAACTTGTTCTTGACTTTTAGGGTTCCAGGTTGCAATTGACCTTATTTCCAGGTTCTATTTTGATAAACTGCAGCTACAACCTTTGGCTCTTATTACTTTCGTTTGATTTATTAGGAGAACCCTTTTATTGTTAGCCATTATAAGTTCCAGAGTTGGGTTGGATGTATTTTATTTGTGCAATCTTGCTTGTTGTGTGTCGTTCCTCGTACGGACCAGCAGTTGAGATCATTAGATCTTACCAGAGGAAAATATTCTATATATGGCTGCAATGGAGCAGATTCGTATGTTGGCATACTAGCTCTAAATAGCAATCCCAAATTTTAGGTTCATTGACAACATGACTGCTAAAGGCTAGATCTTGAAATTGAATAGTCGTCAATTTTGTTTGGTCATATAAAGCTTACTTGTGTGCCATACTTCACTGATGATATCTGGAAATGATGGACATATCTTTCCATTTGATTTGTCCAAGTAATGGGTGTGTTCCGTTTTAGTTAGCAAATTGGTGACGAGGATGTTCCAGTTTTAGGTTTCCTTGTGTTAATTATTATATGAAAATTCGTCGCTTTGTGTTATTATCATATATGGTGATGTTGGAGTATCAACCATATGCACTTTGGATGGATAATTGGAACAATCTTAAATCATGCCCTTATGTTGATTAGAGTCTGGCATCAAGATATATTGAAGTCTCTGTTTTTGGTTTTTCCGCGGATGAGAGTAGGTAATGAGTTCTCAAACATGCATGACGGAGGAGAATTTGGACAGCAGTTGAAGGAGGATGATACAACTGTTGTTTGGATTTGGACAAATGCATATGACGAGTAGTTACACCTGAAAGGGATCAAAGAAGAGCGTTTTAAGCTCATAAACGTGATGTACTCCTTGACAGTTATATATTCGTTACTGAGTATTCTTTTAGTGAGATCAAATTTCAAATGGTAATGCTATGGAACCATCATAAGGAAAAGGAGGATTTGGACCATTGGTGCTTGCCGGGATTTATCGGGGCCTTGTGCTCTAAAGGAAGATGGAAAAAAATACCGAGGAAAAGAAAGAAGAAAACCGTGATGATTGGGCAAGACAATAGAGGAATTGATTGACCTAAGTAAGTAGGCAAGTGAATCTTAACCTTAGTAAGCTGAAAAACCTCGTTAGTAATTACTATAGATATAAATATTTCTAGTAAATCCTTCATTGATAATCAATAAACAGAGGAGTTGGGTTGCTTTTAACATTGGGAATTCACATACTTGATAACGTATTAGTGATGTTTCATGTTCCTTATATTGGTGTTAACCTTATGTACAAGAAAACTTTTATGTATTTATTTAGTAGAAAAACTAATATTGAGAAGCAATTAGGTGATATGTTGCTGATTATCAATTTGCAACAAAAAACTTTTAATCGTCCAAGTTTTCATTATATTCCACATAATTGTAGTTTTCAAGATGAGCTTAATGTTCAAGTGAACGTCATGTTTTAATTTTTATAATTTTATTAAAAATATATCATTTCAAGTAAATTTTAGATTTTGAACATCACTTGGTGAAATGAAAAAATGGATTTGCCTTGGTTTAGAACCAAAAACATCATTTTGAAAGACTATATTATATAATATAGTATTTATTCGGGTCAATCGGACGGATTCGGGTTAGTCAGGTTCGGGCCAATCGTGTTGTGGGTTAGTCGTGTTCGGATTCAATCATATTGCGAGTCAATTAAGTTCGGGTTTAATTGAGTTACGAGTTGATCAGGTTGCAAGTCAATCGAGTTCATGTATAATCAGATTGCAAAGAGGTTGCAAGTCAAGTTAAACGTGCAGATTACTCGAGTCGGGCTCTTCCACTCGGATCGGGTTCTGTTTTGACATCTATGTAGGCAGGGTACAAATTATCCACGAGCGATAATAAGTAGCAACCGTCAAAAGTGCAGCGTCTATTTCCTTTTTTTTTGCCATAATGCCTTCCGTTCTTATCTTATTTCAATTATCACAGTTGAAGTTGTCATAAGCAAAATAACGAGGAATTGGGGCTTAAAACACATATTGGCAACTCTCAAAAACTAGTAAACTTAACAATAAACGAGAGTGCAAGTCAGGGCAAGACAGTACAGGGAAATTGGGTGTTTATGAGAATATATGCCATTTTGATGTAGGTAAACATTCAATTGGGACCCAAAAGTCTAGTTACTATACTGGGATTCTCATAAACAAAACTGAACAAAATTGACTAGTTTAGGCTTGGGATGTAGCCTCCGCTGTTTCCTCCATCGGTTCTGCCTCAGCACCAGCAGCATCCTCAGTTTTGTCGCCTTTCTTGCCTGTTGAGGAGAAGGTATTAGGCAAAATTACCAAAAGATTTGATTCTTCAGCTGCAATAACAAAACAAACTTTACCTTTCTTCTTCTTTCCTCCGCCCTTCTTCTTTGTCTTGATACCCAAAGCTAACCACGCTTTAATTTCAGGATCATCAATCGACTTCGTAGCTTGCAACTCCTGAAGAGGATGTGATGTTATCCTATCCGAACCATTCGGCATCAACAACACTGTGAACTTTATATGAGCCACATAATCACCTGTAACCAAATCCACATTTCTGGTCAGTAAATAACTAAATATCCCATTGCCGAAAAAGGGAACAAAAACCAGATAGATGAGCATTTAGGGGATCCTTACCAGGCTTCTCATGCAGAACAGGATAAGGCTGGAGTAGATCATGATTTACACATTCCACCAGTCCCAACCTAGCCCTTTTCTCTTCCAAGGCCCTAACCATGTACAATGAGCAGATGTATTTCAGTAGGAACACTAGAGAAACAGCAAGTTCTATGATAACAGTAGCAAAAAAAAATCCAAGAAACCTGGCAGAGAAAGGCATGATGGGGAACTTCTGGCTGATTTCACTGAAAATGAATCTGGAAGCTTTCATCTTCAAGTGATAATTCTTGTCCACAGCTCTCTTGTAGATAGTTGTCTCCTTCTCATCTAGGAGCTTAGGCTACAAAAACAAACAGCTCAAGTTAGAAAGGAGCAGGGGATTGTTGCCCACTCCAATAGCATGAATTTGAAACTCAATTACCTTCCCATCACCCGTGCTTGTAACAATATCTACTGCATAAACTTCGTTCTCCTCAAATTCAACATCATCAACTCTTGTGTCTGGATTGGAAGCACTTAGAACAACCTTGTTTCCATCTATTACAAACTGCTTCAGCTGATGGCTAAGAACACCCTCCACAATTTTGCAATCATAAGCAGCAGCAACCTTTTGAATTGCATCCGATACATCTTTATTCTGCCACAAAATTTAAATCATATCTGACAATACAGTCGAACAAATGATGCAAACAACATGCTTTAACATTTACAAGTGCAAAGACTACAACATGTTACATGAGTCACAACAGAGCATATCAGTCATTCAAGAAATATGTTTTGTGCAATTACATGAATCATGCAAAGCAGATAATCCATATTAAAGAAAACAAATCCAATCAACTAGTAGAGCATACACTTTCAACCACACAATTACAGGGATAGAGCTAGGTGAACGTTCACGGACAGCAAACAAATTGGCAACCAAGCAACCACATCCAGCCAAAAATTATCAAAGCATACGGGAAAGCGGGGAATCAATTATTTCATCAATCATTTCGACAAAGTCGCCATCCTATTACTAGAAATCTACCAACTTAATAAGAAATTTCAGTAACTAGAATCCAATCAGCTAGATGTGCCTAAACTTAAAAAATGAAATTACATCTAGGCTAGAGATGTTTATGTACACCAACAATAAACAAATTGGTAAACAATTAACCAAATCCACCCAAAACTTATAGGCAACAGGGAAAGCGGGTAATCAATATATTTCATCAATCACCTCGGCAAAGTTGCATTTCTCTAACTAGGAATCTCCAACTAGACACAAAAAAATTGCATGTAGGCTAGTGATAACGGAATGTACACCAACAGCAAAAAATTGGTAAACAAGCAACCAAAGCGGGTGATCAATATATTTCACCAATCCCCTCAGCAAAGTTGCTCTCATCTAACTAGGAACCTACAAAGTTACGAACAAACTGAAGAGTGTAGAATCCAATCCACCAAGATGTGCCTACGCTCAAACAAATGAGATTACATATAGGGTAGAGTAGGTCAATGTTCACAAGTAGCAAACAAGCAACCAAATCCAGCCAAAATAATATAGGCAACAGGGAAAGCAGGTAATCAATATATTTCACCAATCACCTCGGCAAAGTTGCCATTCTGCAGCTATGAATGCCAAACTGAACAAGTAATTACATCATACATAAATCAGTCGACAATGTACGCTTGAAATGACTAGAAGTTGTCCAACATCAAACAAATTGGTAACAAGACATAACAAGCTCTAACAATAACTGAGATCCATAAAAAGCTCTTACATACTTCAACTCACAATTAGAAGTAGTTCTTTTCTGTGTAAGATTACTTATACCTCTTCCAGCTCACAATACAATCACCACAAAAGTGAACATCATTATCATACAATTGTCCCATCAGAGTAACTATGACACAAAAAGCCTCATTTGGACTCTAATCCACAGCTTTTCATATTTGTTGTCATCATGAGGACAAAAGGAATCAAAATAAAAACGAGAGCAAATTATCAAATTTAAGAATATAAGAGAGGGAGTTGATAAAACAAAACAAAAAAACAAATGGAAGATCCTCCGTCAGTGTAACTATATGACATAAGGACTTCGTTGGACAGCACAGAAGTCCTTGGTCGATTGATTGTTTCATCATTCAGAAATCATCAAGCCAATCACAGGCAGTGTAAAATAACTATACAAGGCATCAGAAAACAAAATGTCTAGGATATAAGAGCCCAAACAGTCACATAAGACTAGGATAAGACTAGGTACTTATCTCCAGGCAATCACAAAATTTCAACAAAATAAGACAGCAATAAAATGGATTAGGTCTTGAAACGATCAAATGCAGCAGTTATCACGTGTCTATACACAACGAGGGCAACATCAGAAGGTGGAAACAATAGCAACTGATCAATGTAAAAAATATTTATAAAAAAAACTACCCCACAAGAAAAGATATCTGAAAACCAAAGGCCTGGGATATAAAAACCCGATTTGTAACATAAGACTGGGTACTTATCTCTGGGCAAAGACAAAATTCAACACAATAAGACAGTATTACAATGGAATATGTCTTGAGATGATAAAACTCAACAATCATGGTGTTTCTATGCACAACATTGGCAACAAGAAAAGGTGGAAACTAGAAGCGACTCATCACCTTAGAGCATTATAACTAGGACAAGTTCCCTGACTACGTGAATTCTCACTAGCTAGATTTCTCATATTTGATCCTACCAGATTAACTATGATAAAAGCTCCAAAGCTGATGAAATCGATTTCATCACACATGAGATGGTTTACAATACCAAAACTACCATTGCCAATAGAGTAAGAGGTACACAAAGCCCAAAGGCTCTAGAATAATAAGCAAAGTGCCTTGTGGTGAAAAAATATGAATGAACACTTCAATAAAACTCTGCGTAGTAACATCAGCCAAGCAGAGACACTAGATTCCTTATCAATGAATCTAACAAAAAAATAGCTAACTGGAAATGACGAAGGCAGGGCAAACTGAATGCTGAAACCAAGCAATATGAGAAATAAATACATACTCCGATATAAAATATACCTTTTTCCCGGGCCTCACAAGCCTCAAAGCAACATCAGCTGCAGTGTTTGCAGCTGCAAGTACATCAGCAGCTCGACCTTTAATTGCTCCTTCCTGAATAGCATGAGTATGCGCAACCACAGCAATAAAGCCATCTATGTGGCAACCCATATCACTTCATCAACAAGAGGACAATTAGGTTGGACAAGTAGTTACCTATCAGAGGTTAATAAATCAAGAGGACCTGAGAGCTTACATTTTCACAATATCGCCTTCTTCCAAAACTCTCTCATCACTGGCAAGAGGAGAGAAATGGCAAACAGTATTGTTTACGGAAACACAAGTAGGAAATGCCACTCCCCTTTCAATCTTCTTCTTCACATTCTTGTACATGCTACCCGTTTGTCTACAATTAAAATTCAGAGAGAGAAATTAATCAAACTGTTACAAGAAACACAAGGTAGAAACAGCCAATCATAAACTAACCAGTATGATCAAAGTATATGCAAACAGAACTTACTCCCTGATAAAAGAATCTCCTTTCTCGCATAGGTCAACGATCTTTGCCTTGGGTTTACAATCTTTTACCACCAACTGCAAGGCCTCTGCAGAAATTCACATAACATACAAACAGTTAGTACAAAATGAATAGAACAGAACGGATGAATTAAACTTGCAAAAAAACATAGCCAGCTGGTAAGCCCCATTTACAAAATGAATAGACCAAAACCAACCACCCTTGTTACATGAATTTTACACAGGGTTGCTTTCACATTTTACACAGATTGCATATAGAGAAAACCGAAACAGCAAGGAGAATAAGGCATTACTGTTGACGATCTCGGCAGCGTTTTTGTATTTGGTCACAACTTCAGGAGAAGTGAGATCCAACTCCTTCTCCTCCCTCTCGTCGTCGGACATGATTCCGTCGGATTTCACCAGCACTTTCTCGCTGCCTAATCATCCAGAGGGGGGAAAAACAACATGAGTTCCTGTTAACAATGACAAAATCAATAATATAGAAGGTGTTCATGTGAAATGGAACGTGGAAGGAACTAACTCAATAAGAGAAGATGATTAACGGCGGTGGAGGAAGGGGAGTGGGACACAAGAGAAGGGGCCGCTAGGCGCTAGGGTTTAGCAGAATGGGAAGGAGCAGCGGCGAGTCTACTGTATAAATGGGGCGAGCGGTGGCGGCTGGTAGCTCTCTCCAGCAGTGAGAACTAGGGTTATGAGTCTTATCTGTCGTCGTTGCGGTCCCATTATATAGAAGATTCAGTCATTTCCGGGTTCTGCCAAGTGTGTCTCGTTTCGGTTCTTTATTGCATTTTCCGTTATTTTTTGACAGCTTGGTTTTTTTTTTTTTTTTTTGACAAAAGGACATTGAATTTCCATTATTTGTGGCATAAGCCAGTCAAACCAACATGTGGGCAACAACATCAAGAATATTTAACCATTGCGCTGGTAGTTGATTTCTAGCACATGATCTAGCAACCCAATTAGCCTTGAAATTGTTCTTGCGGTTGAAATGCTGCAACTTGATGAGAGGGTTCTCCGCCAGAAGTCTCTTGATGCTTCCCAATCTTGCTGCCGCTCGCCAAGGCCAAAAATTTGAGTCACTGTGGACTGCCTTAACCAGTTGCAAACAATCAGATTTCAGCAAACATGGGGATCTAAGGGAAGCTGCGAGACGGGAGCCCTCCAGCAAGGCTGTGGCTTCTGCTTCAAGTGGGGAGAAACAATGCATGGGCTCAGCCCTGCCATCACAAACTTGACCATGGCTGTTCGTAACAACGACGTCATATGCCGCCTTCTGGGGCTCGTCAAAAAACGAGCCATCGCAGTGTACTTCAAAAAGATGAGTACCTGGCGGTGGTGTAGTTTGTTGCTGGGGTGGGATGGGCTGAGAAGGAAGTGGTCCATCAGGCACTTTCCTTGGGCAAGTGGACCATTGAGAGTGAGCTGCCTCCGCTCTCAAGATCGTGGACGGTGGCCACGGCTGTTTGTCCCTGAAGATCTTTTCGTTTCTGGATTTCCAGGTATGCCAGCTAAGGAAGATAATTTTCTGGATCGTCTCGACTGGGTAGAACTGTCGAAGGGAATCAAGCCATTCAAGGAAGGAGGACAAAGGTGAAGGTCGAGGAAGGGAGGGCCACTGTTGCCTCCAAACCTCCTCCGCGTGGGGGCAAGCAAATAAACATTGGTGGATTGATTCTGAAGAGCATCCACACAACGGGCATGCCTTAGAGGTGGCACACTTTCTCTCAAACAGGTTTTCTTTACACGCCAGTGCCCCTCTGGCTACCCTCCATACGAAGAATTTAAGCTTTGGTGGTATAGACAAACTCCATAACCACTTCCACCTTTGTCTGCTAGCCTCCGGGAACTCCTCTGACCATCCTCCTTCCTGTCTAGCCTGCAAGTGAAACTGGGTGAAGGCAGACTTTACTGTGAAATTACCTTGGTCAGTAAACCTCCAAGCCCAGAAGTCCTCCATGGATGCCGGTCCAATGGGGATCGCTGCCACCTGAATCAAGTCCTGCTGACTGAGAAAGTTCGACAGTAGATCAAACTTCCATTCCCTTGTGATTTCATCGATCCAAGTGTGAGCTGTATCATTTTCATTCCACTCAAACTGTAGGAGGGGCCCTGGCCTATCAAACCTCCATGGATCATGAAACAGCCTTGTAGTTTTGCCATTTCCAATCACTCTGATGAGACCCTTAAGCATCCATTTTTTTGCTTCACACAGACTCGACCAGATCCACGATGCTTTACTGCCTTTTTTTGCATTCAGGAAGTCAGAGCTGGGAAAATAAATGCTTTTTAAAACCTTCACCCATAAGGCCTCCTTGTTGGTGAGAATTCTCCAGGCCTGTTGACTCGCTAAAACACAACTCCTAACAATGGCCAAGTGTAACCAATGAAAGGGACTGCAGTATAGTGGCTCAAGTAATAAATATCGAATCCACGGGTCTCTAGAGTTACTATTACTCAGCTTCAGTTCGTTATCTAGCAAAACAGATTAGGTTGAAAGAACTAAAACTACTCTAGCAAACTACAGTTAAAGTTAATCTAATTACAGGTTGGGAACTCACTTAGGTATGATTCCCCCTAGCCACTAGCCAGATTAACGATCGATGATTTCTAACTTGTTTCACTTCATTCACAATGCGGAGAATCCTTGACTAGACCTTGAGTCTCGACTAAAGGAACAAGGCCCTCTTGAGTCAATTGCCTAGAGGGACGTATCCTTCTCTAGAACAATCGATCAAGGCGTTCTGAACTAGACTCCCTCTATCGAATGAGGTTCTCAATCGATACAAAGCAGTGAATCAACCCTCGACTAAAGCAATCGATCCACTACTATCAATCTATGGTGCTCTATTGACCTAATCAGGTATTCGCTCTCATAGGATCAAAGCAGAATCAATAATCTCGACTAAAGCAGAATTGAATCGTGAAAACATGCATAGATTGAATATGAACTCAAGATTATCAAGTCAGAGTACTCATACAATCATCCAATCAAACAAACATAGCTAGGGTTCCTCAAAACCTAAGTGAAGGGAAGTTACTCCATAGAGAAGAGAGAGACTGCAGTAAGAATCTTCAGATGATCAGTCTTCAAGTCCGGGCTTGTTCCTCGAGCTTCCAAGGCGAAGAAATCCTCCAATTCCACTCCGAGAATGCCCTCAAATCGCCCTCTCTTTCTTTGGTTCGTCCCTTGGGTGTTTGGGATCCAAAACCCAGCTCTCTCTTGCAAAAACGCACAAAATCGGCTTTTATCAGCTGCCCTCGCGATACCCGGTCGAAATACCCGGTCGGGTATTTTGGGTCTCGACCGGGTATAATTGAAGCGCACCGTTCCACAATAGGTGAAAATTCCCCGGTCTACCACCAAAATCCCCGACCGGGGATTTAACTGCTGTGCCCGGGCCCCTCTCTGCTTCTCGGGCGCCCAAAATTGGTTAATACCCGGTCGGGTATTTGGCCACCTGACCGGGTATTTTCCTCCTGCAGCCCCCTTAGTCCCAACTCGGCTCCTTTCGACCCAGAACTCGTTTCTCCGCCTCGATTCCAACGCCGGGACCTGAAATATGACACAAACACACAACCTAGCGTGAAATCGGCTTAAAACACGAGATTCCACATCACAAACGACTTCAGAATGGGGGTGAAAACATGTGCAATTATCGGTCTATCAAACTCCCCCACACTTAACCGTTTGCTTGTCCCCAAGCAAACCTAACTCAAACCAATGCAGCTCTCCAGACCTCTATAGCAACAAACACCCCAGATCGTCGGTAGAGGACTTTCTAGATCATAAAGCAGCTTACGAGGTCAACTGGTCTTCTAAGACGTCCCCTATCTTTCTCAATGCGAGTACTAGACTCAAGCCAGGATCATGAGAAAAAGTAGAAGTAAGACAGTCAGTTCATGGATAAAGGGACTCACACCATTCACAACCAAGGACTCGTTGTACCGGGGTGCTCTTTCACTTCATTTCACCGTTGGAACCCCTTTTTCACTTTCATTTTACTTACTTTTTTTTTTTCCTTTTTATTCACTTGGCGGGGGTTCCAACTGCAGTCTTTTGCACGGTCGACCCTTATTAGTCGAGCAAGAGCAATTTCTGTACATCTGGCGCTCGCCAGAGTACTTCTTTTAACTCCTTTCCTCAACTCGTGTGGAGGGTCAATGAAATTAAGGGGGGTCGGAAGCTCTATCCGTGCCCTTAAAAACACATCCTCGAGTAGGCAAACCGTTCAACGGGTGGAAGTTTTACTTGTACTAGAGACAGCTTAGCTTCACCTTGTAGGAGTACCCCACTAAGGATCACTAAAATCTCTTCCAAAACCCGATTTTGTGCAATGAACGGTGCCACACACGTTGGGCTTACCCCATGTTTAAGATTTTTGATGATTTCGACATGGAGGACCAACTGCTTTTCATTTGCCACATGAGCACCCTGTTCAATACACGAGTCCATAACACAATTCAAACAGAGTCCACATTACCACATGAATTCAACGGTCTTAGCTCCACTAATTCACAAAATCAACTGACACAGCAGAGAGCTAGATAGGAAAAATCTTATACTTCAACATCCTCCATAGTGCTACACTACCTCCCTAGGTTGCACATTACTATAGAGACTGTCAATTCAAAGCATACTGAGCAGGCAATTTGCATGGAAACACGTACTTGGAGCCCTCAAATTTAAAATTTGGACAGTGGACTAGGCTCCAAGCACACAAACAGCCAAACATTCACCCGCATACATAATCGAACACCCCCCCACACTTAAGCACGACATTGTCCTCAATGGAGGAAAGATAAGGAGGGTAGAACGAAGTTACCAGATCAAGGGTGAATGATGATGGACGGGGCAGGCGGTGCATTCCAGGAGGAGAGAGTAATCAGAACACAAACACCACACAAAATCTCACAAAGGTTGAGTTATTGACTCTAACATCAAATAACAAAACTGACTCAACCGAGGATAAATAGAGAAAGAAATGCAAACCGACTGGTTGGGTTGCCTCCCAACAAGCGCTTCTTTCGCGTCGTGAGCCGGACGATGGCTCCTAAGTTTCGGTCCATGCTAGAACCTCCTTGAAGTTGAGGTTCTCATCAATGAGGTGGAGTCTCAAGTCACGAGCATGTGGTGTGGCAGGTGATGAAGGCTCGTGTACTTGATGCAGATGAAGTCTCCACCCTCGAGACCTCTTCTTCTCTTCTCTCGTCTCATTGCCCCAAACCAGATATGACAGCATCGATTGGCCACCATCGCGTCCACCAAGAGGGACCGATGTCGATGTGGCCTTGGTCTGGCAAAGAGACACTGCAAATGGGTCCTTGCTGAGCAATTCCTCGAAGTTTGGTGGAGATATCACATGTAACTCATGGCCGGTGCAAGCCTCTTCCACCTCAACTTCGTCCTCAGCCTGGACGCCAATTGCTTCTTCAACCTCCCTTTCTTCTTCATGTGGTATCACCCCTAGGAAATGATCAAGAACTACTCCTGCTTCGCTTTCGTCATCCTCCACAACCTCTTTCTGCACCCTTTCTTGCTCTTCTTCTTCTAGCACGGATTGGAGAGCAAGTTGCCAGGCAATTTCTTTCATGAGATCTTCTTGCATCTCCTCACTCATGCCCACCTCTTCGAAGCTCAGTGTGGGATGTGGGAAAGGGTGGTCGGCTACGACAGGACATTCCTGATCATGATCATCACGGGAGCCCTCCGTGACAACTTCTATGTGCTCCACAATGTCC